TTTTTGTGTCAGGCAACGGACCGCAACCCTCAGTGTCGCGCCCGTACCAGACCGGGACCGGCAACGGGATCGCAACCCTCGGTGCTGCTCCCGCCCCTCGCTCAGCCAGTGAGCGGGAACCGGTCTGTATGTGGGATCCGAACCCTCGGCGGGAGAAGCGCCGCCGCGCTCTCAAGCGGTGCACTGTAGCAGTGCGCCACCGGGCCGGCCCCTTAAATCACATTCTATTTGAAGTAGTATCGTGAAATTTCACTCCATCCCGCCTGGGACATGAATCCTCCCTGTGTCCAGCGTATCCTCATGGTCTATGCTACCCGCTCGCTGGTCACTTAGTAGCCGTCTCAGTTATCAGATGGAAAAACAGTGTAGTTAGGGTTTGGTACCACCTGTGGTTTCAGGCATCCTCTGGAGGTCTTGGGACGTATCACCCCTCAGATAATGGGGGAACGACTGTATTCATAATAAAAGGATCGATCTGCCTGAATGATATCACAACTCCAAATCTGTATGCACCCCATAAAATAGCTAAAAAATGTATGAGTAAAAATTAACAGAATTAAAGGAGAGAGAGACAAATTCATGGTCGTAGTGTGCATCTGTAATATACCTTTCTCAATAGCCAGTAGAACAAGCAGACACAAAATCAGTAAGGATATAGAAAACATGAAAAGTGCAATTAACAAATCTGACCTAATTGACACATAGAGAATTCTGCGCCCTACAATGACAGGATTCACATTCTTTTCAAATGTGCATGAAACATATACCCCAAAACTGATATTTCTGAGAAGTTTCAATGCATTGCTTCTGCTTATATACCACCCGCCTGCCAGCAGTTCATCCTGGTTACCTCTGGCAGAAAGGGAGGCTGAGAAACGTCCTCTGCTCCAGGTGGCCAAATACCCAACTAAAACTGAGAGGTCCTATCCTAAAGAAGAAAGGAGAACAAATGTTAGGGAAACCCATGGTCTCTGGCCCTCCCTCCCTCTTTCCCCGGCAGCTCTGGTCCTAAGACAGGGGCTCCTCATTTGATTCTGGCTTTGCCGTTTACTTTCTATGTGACTTTGGGCAGGTTATTTAACCTTATTCTCTGTTTTCTTATCTTACAAGATGGGAATAACCCTGCTTCATAGGAGGTATTGGAAGATGGACCAAGATAATGCATACAAGGCACTTAGTCCTGTTCAATAAATGTTAGCTGCACAGAGAGGTTAAGTAACGTATCCAAGGTCACACAGCCAATAAATGACTAGCTTTCAGACCCAGGCATCTGGCTCCAAGCTGATACTGACACTTCTTTGGGGCCA